TTATCAGGTGTTTTTGCCACTTTAAATGCAGGACTCCACCTACCACCCTTCTCACTCTTGTTATTTCTTGTTGTTCTGACACTTACTGATGGTGGGTTGTTCCTTTTGACCTGCACTGATCACTAATATCTTGATCAGGAATGACAATGACGTTTTTCCAGAATGTCACAGATACCAGTGAGTAGGCTAGCTGGTGGTCAGATCATATCAATATAGAAGAGGAATGGGAAGTGGGGTAATATGAGTGGTATGAGATATACTTAAGTAGTCCTTGATGAGTGAGATATATGTCAGCCCAAGGGGATTGCTACTGAGAAGGTTCCTCTCAGTGTATAAATGGAGGGAAACACTGGACCGGGCGCTTGGTCAAGCCTGGTAAGGCGTGTGACGATAAGTGAAGTGCTAGCGAGCGAAGGTGACGTGAAGCGCTGATGAGCGACAATGGCTGATGACAAGCGACAATGCGCGACTTATAACAGAAGCGTGCACTGAGCGGGAGTGGTGTGCACGTGTGGGTGGTGGAGCGTAGCGACTCTTAATGAGTCAGAAAACTAATTCGGCAGAGTTTCTAGTAATGTACGGCAGTGGCATTCGTATTGTACTTAGATACTTTAGATTTATGAGAGAGAACATTAGACTTAGAGTCCAACAATGTGCGGGCAGAAAGATAATCATTATACAATTTAGACATGCATATATATACTAAGTAATTCTAAGTGCTGTCAAGCACTAAAGTGAACCAAGAAGCGAAACAGATACGAGATAATATGTAATGTAAGGGTCCATGATGGAAAACATACGAAATTTGGCCATAAGCACCAGATATATGTCAGAATAAATGAAAATAGAATCGGAATATGCACCGACAAACCAAATGGACATGGAATGGATGGATGGAGGATGCGTGACAGAACCAAGGATGCGTGACTGAAGCGCTCGTGCGTGTGAGCGGCCGACAAAGTGCTTGAGCGTGCTGTAGAGAGATATGGGTTGCGCTATATTAGGAAGTGATAGAGACATTGGGAATTTAGATCCCTGCAAGGCCACAGAGATATTAGTCTCTACATTGAATTGACATATGACACAGGATCATGGTTGGAGATTGGGCAATCAATTAGTTTCTTTTGCATCACTTCTCTATTATTGGTTTGGTCAGCTGATATCTGCACTGCCAGGGAGTATCTCATGGTAGACATTTTGGTGTTCCACAAGTCCACAGACAGTCACAAGCTAGAATGAGGATGCACTTGGCCCACTGCTCATAAAACAGTGACACATGGTTAACTATTGTGTGTTCATTCTTTGTTGATGCTAGTGATGTCTCAGCTCCAAGCTGCATTTTTCAGAAAATGAGCATAACATGCTGAATAAAATTCCTAAATTCATGAAAATATTCATGTAAATAGATTGAGCCAAAATCCGGGAGGCATCTAAGGGGAATTCGTACTATAATGCATCATTGTCTTGCTATGAAGCAGCTCAGAAAATGACTCAAAATCCAAGCCATTTGCTGAGCTGCTTCATATCAAGACAATGATGCATTATAGTACGAATTCCCTTTAGATGCCTCCTGGCTTTTGGCTCAATCTATTTCCATGAATATTTTCATGAATGTAGGAATTTTATTCAGCATGTTATGCTCATTTTCTGAAAAATGCAGCTTGGAGCTGAGACATCACTAGTCGGTGCTCATGGAAGACACTACTGATTAACTTACATGACAGATTGTGAGTGGGTTAATTCATCGAGCTTGACTCATGCTGCTAGAAGGTATTACCTATCTGTTCACATAGGTGAGAGTATTCATCTTGTGTCAAGCTCTATTGTGCTGCCTTATTACTCCAGGGCATTCAAAGCTCAACTAAGAAGTGTCCACATTTTTGTTTGTCCTTGTTATTCCTTGAGGGTCTGTTGAGCATCAATCTCTCAGCATCATTTCACATTTTCACCAATGCACTTATGCAGGAATGAGTGGCACCACTGTCTTATTAAGTATAATATCATCATCATGATCGCCTGATACCTTAAAATAGTCCTTTGTCTCTTTGTATTCTGTTCATTTCCATATGAATCCCCTTTGATTCTTGAATCTATAAAATATGGTACATATCAACATTGAATGGTTGTTGATTCACTCTATTTCAATCTCGCACACACAGGGCAAACCTACGTCATATATTCACGATCTCTGCTGATATCAATGAGCTGCCAGGCTACTCCAGATGATGGTACCAACATGCTGCTACCCCTGCATACTAGTGCCAGTCAAGACACAGGTAAGAGAACACTCACTAAATTTTTGCGCAATACCATACTCACACTGTATGTGATTTATCACATAAACCATTATGGTAATATAGATCTTGATTCCGATGACATGGACTTCTATTCCAATTCCGACTCTGATTCTGATTTGAATGCCATAGACTTCAATCACATAATGAGGACAGTCACATATTTGGACAAACTAAGTTGCCAATCTCCAGGTTTCTTGAGATTTGTGGTGGTGATGATCAATGTGGTACATCACATAATCTCAGGAGGCTTCAAACTCACATCACATGCCTCAGTTCCATAGAGTCCATGTATGTATGCCTACAGAAGGACAGCAGGACATTCAATTGTTGGATGATATCTTTGCCGTGTTTGAAGCAGTAAGTCGTATTTTATTATAATAGGATTCCAATTACTATCTTATAGTTGCAGCTGGATGATACTACTATTGAGACTCTAATCAGCATTCTTACTTGTATGCGAACAGGTTCATATCAATATTTGATCAGAGTTATCCTTGGACTCACATTTACTAAGCTATACCTAGTATCTGGGCCCTAGAGGGATGTAGGCCTCCTGCATCCAGCTTGACACTTTGGTGTCAGGCCCCAGGTAGTGTGTCAAGGATGTTGCTGAGGATGATGACCTACTTGATGACGATATTGAAGGATTGGGCATATAAATACATATGATTACAATATGCTGTGCAATTATCTTGTGCCCAAGTTATAAATCTGTGTGATAGACTTTCAACTCGGTTAATGCCTTTGTTAATTCTTGCAGTATTCGTTCCTTTTCTTGGGGTTACCCACTACTGGATTGCTCTATGACTTGTCACAATGAACTATATCATGAAGAGCTCTAAGCGCCCAGTCAAACTAAAGCCTTGCACCTGCGAAGTTCTTGGCTGCATCAATGAATGACACAAAGACCCCACTACCCAGGTTGAGCGACCAGGAAGACTCCTCCCACTGCCAAGCGTCCAGGTCCATGAGCAGCAAGTAATACACCAGGCTAAAAATAAGCAAAATAATATTGATGCTACATTCTTTGCTGCCACTTTCACTGAAAAGCCTACTGATGAGGACACTTTCATCATAGGGCAGTCATAACATGGTAGGTACTTGTATATAATGTCATTGCAAATCTTATATCATGATATTCTGTCAGATGGAAATGCCCAACCACTGGAGCCTGTGCTCACAAATGATGGAGGGACATCCAAGAGTGAGGGACTGGAGGTCAGTAGTCATGTGTCGTGCATCTCAATGTCACAGTGGGTCTGAGATTCTCTATGCTATGTACTGTGTTTATGATCAATTTTGATACTAGGTGCATCAATGAATACACTTGAATCTTTGTGAGAACTCCTGCACACTCATATGCATTGTTTGCTGTCACCTATCATCATTAGTTTTGTCGAAAAACCCTCTTCAAATTCCAGCTCCACCCTGGGCCCCTTGGATCCATTGTAGAAACAACAATACAGCGAGGCGCGAATGAGGCTCCTGACTGTATCTATAAATGTTGTAAGGTTGTGCATTGCCTAGTCTGCTATACTTGAGACAACAAGTGCATTTGACCCTAAAGGGGAAGTGAGTGCAGCAAGGATCTCGAAGTATGCAGAAATGAGAGAGACTAAGCTTAAGTGATGATATGATGCAAGATAAGAGATGTGAGAGTGCGAGATGTAAAGGAATAGATTTCTACTGCGACTTTCTAGGTAGTAAGTGGTAGATAAAGTTGGGGCAACCAAAAGGTGAGTGGAAAAGTATATACTGCTGGTGCTTATATATGCCTAAGCACTGTCATGCAGAGCCGAAGCGCTTCCAAGTAAGGTATGTAAAGATATATGTAAGTAAGGGTCCAAGATAAAAATAAAGGTGGAATGATATGCGAATAAGGGAAATGGAAATATATGCACTAGAGAGCTTGGTGGACAGTGGATAGATGTGTCTGGATGGCTGGCACTATAGGGTGCTCAAGCGTGTGCACACACATATACATTGTGAAGTGTGGGAAGTGTGTGCACATTGCACGGGAAAGCTGCACATCGTATAGGGATGGCTGTGGACAGCACACAGAGTGGTGCTGCAAGTTCGTGCAATGAACTCCCTAGTGAAAAGTGCCATATCATATCATGAGAGGCATGAGTCTCTACACCATCAGTTTCTACATAGCTGGATTTTGAAGCACCAGCTAGCCATAGATAACCTTTTGGAAATGGTAGACACTATTGTCTGCAATGGAGACGACTTGGTGCAGGCAACTAGAAAAGCACTGGTGCAGGAAATTCAAGATCACCAGTCTTACTTAGACAGGATTGTTTGTGAGAACTGGCTACACCAGAAAACCAGTAACACTGTTCTTTCTATGGAGTTTTGGTGCCAGCTTCCCATTGTCCACAATAACTGTAAGTAAAAAAATCAGAGACAAATTTGTTTGTTAACACTTTCAATAGCTCATCATTTTGATATACCCACCCTGCTTCAAAGCTTGGCACCTTTGCTTCTGTCTTGTATTTTCATTGGCATACTCCTCCATGTACTTGGCTCTCTCTCTCTCAGCGGAATGTGTCATTTCTCCTCATCATTATGGGTTGTATAGTCACTTCAAGTCTTTGATGATTTCTCTGAGACATTAAAGATGATGTAAAAGATCACAAACATCTACTTGAAACCATAAATTCTGCCTCTGATCACTGGCCAACTGATATTCACACTGCCATGGAGATGATTGACATTGATTCAGACATAGAGGAGTATGTCTGTTGCCCAAAGGACCATAGCATTTACAGCCCATTGCTGAAGGGTTGAGCAAAGGGTGATAAAATCTCTGACAGATACACATTTTGCGAAACTCCATCCGACAAGCCTTGTGGAGAAAATCTCTTTGACAAATTCACATCTGGTGAAGGATGCAAGCCACAACTCTTGTATTCTGCAGGGGATACACTGTATCCCTGGCACTGGCTAACAATGTTATCCCACACATAAATTTGGATGTCAATTCCACCAGATGTGTGGAGAGAGTGAGGACTCCAAAGTCATTTTACATTGATGCACTGCTTGAGTGTGTGAGTACCTTTAGCATCTCGTGATACTCAATTTCTGAAATAATGCCAGCACAAAACACATTCATAGGTTGAAATCTGCTGTCCTCCTGTGCTTCCTCATCCAATCACTGATTTTTCTACTGCATCAGCCAAGACATCCAATTCTGCCATCCTCCACAAAGGAATTTTGCATGAGGTATGGTCTGACATGGCTAAGACAACTATGCCTTCATGATTGAAACATGCACCCACAAATTTTGGCAGTGCCTCATATGGCAAAATCAAAGCTGACCAATGGTGCACTATCTGCTTAGTGAACCTCATCATCACCCTTGGCCACATAATTCAGTACTTTATTTCCGACTTAGACGGACAGCCAAAGGTTGAGAATCTCCCCAGTTAGACGGGCCATCCTAGGTCGGCCCATACGCAGATAGGGCGGGCGGGCCAGCCATGAAGGCAATTCTCGGTGGTGACGGGTGGGCCAACATCATGCAGTATTATTTGTAGGCTGGGGTAATGGTCAATAGACCAGTGGGCCAGCCATGGAAGGACTGGAGATAGGGCAGGCGGGCCAGCATGAAGGCAATCCTCGGTAGTGACGGGTGGGCCAACATCATACAGTATAATTATGAATTATTTGTAGGCTGGGGTAATAGTCAATAGACCAGTGGGCCAGCCATGGAAGGACCGGAGATAGGGCGGGCGGGCCAGCCATGAAGGCAATCCTCGTAGTGACGGGTGGGCCAACATCATACAGTATAATTATGAATTATTTGTAGGCTGGGGTAATAGTCAATAGACCAGTGGGCCAGCCATGGAAGGACCGGGAGGGATACAGAAGAAGCATGCATTAATATATTGGGCCAGGACGTGTGCTGCTGGGGTACCGGCTGGGCCCAAAAGTATTCTTGGACAGGGAATGACGGCCCCTTATACCCGGTACAGGTGGATGGGCCCAGATATGGACCCAACCATTCCAAGGTCCTCATCAATGATGGTTGGGCCGACGTACCCGAGACCAGCAGATGGGCAGGCAGTTGTACCCGGTATTGGCAGATGGGCCCAGATGTGAACATGACCATACCCAAGGGTCCTCACCAACTTTGTATCCGAGACTGGCTGACAGGCACATCCTCAGTTAATTATGGGTAGGCTGGCACCTGAGCCCGGCGGACGGCACCAGACCAATGCTGTGAATACCGGATTCGCATAGGTATGGTGTCCCAGACATATTGCACATATGAACAGTTGCATTCCCTTGTGTGTGCAATCATGTTTGTCGCACATCCGGTCCTTGATGGCGGATCTTCCGGATACAGACATCAATGCCAGTTTGGATGCTCTGGCCGACACAACATCGCTTTGTATTGACTTGCATGCGCAGTCGGTTGGTTCAGCTACCGAATTTATACCACAACAGAGATCCGGTATCATTTGGACACGACTCAGATCAACTTATCCGATATGGTAGATAAGATGCGATCGAATCGGTCCACTGAACGGGAGTGGCTGGAGCATCTGCGCCCCGAGCAGCCGGTGCAGATTACTGATCCCAACTTCCAAACCGACGCTGGTGGTTGGGCTGAGGTGTGAGGTCCATAGAGATGAGCGGGCCCAAAATGCATGACCGGATGGGCCTGCATGCTTGAGGGTGAGAATGGGCCAGGCAAATTTGCGAAAATTGTGACGGATGGGCCCAGCCCGCATGTATGCATATATATGGGTGGGCCCGGCTTGTAGGCATGCTCGGGAAAATGGGCAACGGATGGGCCCAAAATGTGCGAGGATAGGCCCAGCGGATTGCATGTAATCTTGAAAATCATGACGGATGGGCCCACCATGGATTTGATCTCAGAAAAGGCAAATTGGCCCAGTGCATATGCAGATGTGGTCTCGGAAACAGTGACGGATGGGCCCAGTCCACTGTGTTTGGACTTGGAAAAGGCAACGGACGGGCCCAGTCCCCCATGGGTATAATCACTTCGGGTGGAGTCTCGGAGAAGGCTATGGATGGGCCCAGAACATGCTTATTTGTTCGCGAAAATGGTGGCAGATGGGCTGAATGTGCTTGGAAGGGACTCAGGAATAGACCCTTCCACCCATGATTGTGGAATCAGAAAGGGCGATGGATGGGCCCAGCACTCGTCTTATATTGCCGAGAATGGTGGAGCCCGTAGATTTGGTCTCGGCGAAGGCGACGGGTGGACTCAACTTGTGTGTATTCCCGAGAATGGTGATGGATGTGTGCAGCATGTATGTTGCATGCTGGAAAGGGGCTACGGATGGACCATCCGACATATTCCATGGGAGTGCTCGCTGGGGAAATGTCTGACAGCGGCCGGGATCTATATGAACCCGTCGGTTGTGGGCATTCCGACAACTGTGGAGAGTTGTATGTGTGAACCGAGTGTAGGACTATTGTAGAGAACCACCACGGCTACCATTGGCTAAACCCTTTGGATCTACATCGGCAAAGGCCCTATCTACCGTTGCTTCCAGAAGATCCTGTACGGCTGAGGTACTGTCCACTCTGATATCATTTTATCGCTGCCTCCGCTGAGGATGAGGTCATGTATTCCATTTATGTATGGTAGAATTCTCACCGAGACTTGTGAGAAGGCTTGTGTCATCGGCAATAATCGAATTGGCTAGCTACAACACAACAGATACTAATCTATGTCGCCATTCTCCCGAAGTCATTGTATGATAGCTTTATGATGAAAAAAACAGACTGGTATTCACCAAATTGGTGATGCAACAAATTATAAATGAATCAAATGACCATCAGCGACCCTTCACTAAATATACGGCGGTGCTTTGCAGCTGGCTCCCGAACATCTTGCTCAGGATGAAATAGATAATTCAGCATATCCAAGTCATGCTCCGCCACAATCTTCTGCCCATCCCATGCACCATCAGGCCGTCGAATATCCTTCCGATTGACATACATCGGATAATGTGTCTTCTGGATCAGTCCAGCCCAATCGAAATCGAGCAGCATGAAGTGTTTGTCGTCCCGCACAACAAAATTGGTATCTTGAAGGTCGCCATGAACGTAACCGTCATTGTGATTGTGTAACTCCTGGATGAGAGAGGTGATGGTCTCCTTCAGCGGCTGACGGTCCAAAACACTTATCTCACTGAGCAGTCGATATGAGCCAGGTCGTTGCGGAAAGCAATCATTATCAATATCAAGGGCATCCATAACCACCAGATTCCAGCCGCCGGGTAAAGAATTGTAGGTGATAAGTTTGGGGGTGTTCCCCTTGCTGGCACAGAATTCGTGAGCCTGAGGGGAATAGTGCCTGACAAACTTCATGCATATCTTGCTCCCAGCCGCATCGCCGACGGTTTCCCCGAAGAAAATAAGTCGATCCCTGAGGATTTGAGTCTCATCATATGAGAATTGCTGAATGAAACCGGTGGAATTGGTATAACTCCAAGGGTAAGGACATTTAAGATATGGATCTTCGGGTTCGAGGGTCGGGATTGGATGGGAGTATAGTTTTGTAAGTTTCTCGACGGCAATTTTGAGAGCCCCGAAAGTACGAGCTGCCATCACTTGCATATGGAGGTCTGTTGAATGCCAAAACAGAGGAATGATAGGGACCAGGACATCGGACTGGACTTTTTCAGTGAAAACAGAGCCTGAAAAGCCGATGCATGCCCCTAGTTGTGATCAATAAAAAGCTTTAGCAATTAATCTGGTGAAATGAACTAACCGAAGACAATGCAGTTAAGTTTCAGGTGGAGCGGTCCGGAAGACACTAAGTCGGACCACCATCAGTGAGGAAAGGCTGGCAATATCGAAGGACAACTCACCGGCAGGCGGGCATTGGATAATAATATGCAGATACTTCCGCGGAGGAGCATCAGGAAAAATCTCTACCATTTCATCCACAGGTGATAGGGATTTCGTTGGGTCCAGTGTAAGATTGTTGAGATTGTGCTCAATCATCTCGTCGACGGGCAGGTCGACCTTCCAAAATATCAGATTATCAACATCCAATCCTAGGCATCAGATCACTCACCTTCCATAGCTCAAGACGGTCAGTGGCAATATGGTCAAATTCTGGCCTTTTCTTGTCTTTGATGACCTCTTTGAGGTCACCAACAATCTCCATCCGCTCAATGTCGACCGGGAAAATATGGCGAGGATTATCGCCCAAGACAATACAGTTGAGTTTCAGGCGGAGCGGTCCAGACATCTGACGTTGACAACAAGAGTGATGGCGTCTCGAGCAGTGACTGCAGTGAGCGCTCACTGCTGCAGCAACAATGCACTTACAAAGACAAGCAGCAACACCCCGTGACCGGGTATTTGATTTTCTGTGAGAATACACCGTGCCTGGGAATTTTCGTCCCTTTCCGGGTATCCGATGCACCATTTATGGGTGAGAAGTGGATTAAGGCCTGTTGCGGTGCATCTGTTGTCGCAATCAGAGGTGGTTTATCTTGCAGGCACCGCAACAAGCCTTAATCCACTTCTCACCCATAAATGGTGCATCAGATACCCGGAAAGGGGTTAAATGGTGTATGACGAGATGTTCTAGGCACAGTAAGCCTTAATCCACTTCTCACCCATAAATGGTGCATCGGATACCCGGAAAGGGTAAAATGGTCTATGATGAAATTTCCATAGGCACAGTAGGCCTTAATCCACTTCTCACCCATAAATGGTGCGTCGGATACCCGGACAGCTGTACAGGATCTTCCAGAAGCAATGGTGGATCGGCCATTCGTGACGTAGATCCACTGGATTTAGCCTATGGTAGCCGTGGTCGTTCTCTACAACAGCCTTACAAGCGGTCCACATATCTGACTCTCCACAGTGGTCGGAATGCCCACAACAGATGGGTTCATGTAACACCCGGCCGCTGTAAGACATTTTCCCGTACAACGATTCCCTACCGATTTGGATCCTCAAAATGCAGCATCTGCGACCACTGTCCTATCAGCAACGGACCGCATTATGCCATCGGCTGTCCCATCCAGTAAATCCCTCGACAATCCGATTGGTGGGAGGGCGACGGAACCAGAGCTTGTATCACCAGCACCGGACCCAACGGCTCCGCGTGCGCAAACTCTGCCCCACCTCCCCTTCAAACGTAATATCTTTGTGGCTGGCGCCAATAAGACACCTGGAAATGCAGCGCCGCAGGTCGGCAAGTATCGCAGATGGACCCCAGTCGGAAGAGGAGGAAGAAGTTCCAATCAACTGACGAGGACAAAGTTCACACCGGAACTATCTTGGTAAACGTATGTTCGATGATGTTTGCATATGAATCCTGAACTCAATCGTGCTCCCACCGTCCAAGGCAGCGTCAGACAAAATTTAAATCCGGCGGGTATAGACTCTGCAGCCCATGACAGGAATTTCCGGAAGGAAGAGACAAGGGTGCGTTATCGGCTCTCTGAACGATATGGTCAAGCGAATTTCCACTGGGATGAACGTGCCAGCATTGAACTGATTGCTTACCAAGTATGTATTGGCGGAGCGTGTCAGAACGTATCACAAATCTGGACAGCTGCATTTCCAAGGTATTGCACCGAAAGTTGACAAGATAGTACGTCGCACCGGATCCTCATGAGCGACACATCCGAAACTATGGACATGCATTCTGTCAGCTTCCGAAGAGTTTGATAATTATCCCCGTCCGGACATCGATGTACATGTTGGTACTCTGGCCGGTAGAACATCCTCTTGTAGTGAACCGGCAAATGCAATCGGAGGATCGTTTACTGAATGTGTCATGAAAGTCAAATAAACGTCATATCTAAGTGAAAATTTGACTAAGGAAAACAAAGACAACCCTATAAAATTACATGAAGTATTATGATGTCCATCTGCATATGACGATCTATTTCTCGGATATGACCGATGGTGCATTAAGAATCGAGAAGATGCAACGAAAAATGTCATATGAGCCACATTGTCAGTCTGTGCGAAGGCGACATCAACCGAAAATGAACTACAACGCGCGGTACCGAATGAAATCTGCCTGATTGTATTGGGCTAGGTGGTATATCGCAAAATCCGCGAGATTATATTTTGCATACTCTGTATGCGGGGTCTGAGCATAATTATGCACGCTATCGCGCATAAACCAAGCCCAGACGATTCTGTCTCCCTCGGCAACTTGAACGCCATGCCTCACGAGCCGGCCAGAATAGCTAACCATAACACCCGGATCATAAGCGAGCTCGATGCCCAAGTTGGTCAATTGCATTACGCCATGGTCATAGCCGCCTATGCAGGTAAGTATGTCGAAACCTTCCGGGGGGCATTTCGGATCTCGATGGCTCGGCGACTTCCTGTTACACATGATTGCCGCTCCCGTGTAGACGGATGTCCAATGTTGAAGGAACCTGCACATATCATCCAGTCCTTGCTTGGCCGCCCAATTCCCAAGCTCTATATGAGTGGATATAGATGCACAGGTATAACTGCGGGTGCATTACACGAAGGGCGGCGGAAGATACGAGACCCAGGACGTTGCATATCTCTGATGACCGACAGGCTCCTGTCGCCCTTCAAGGTAGCGGAGACTTCGGGCATAAAGCCATCCTCCGGGTTCACAGGCGGGGGCCCATGACACTGTTTGATGTTAGACATGTCCTGAGTACAGAAAATTCAAACGCACCTCGTGTCCCTGTTGAAACCAGCAAGGCGATATATTGATGCACCCGGGCTTTAACTGCGGCTCTTTGGAGGCATAAAAATTGGTTGAATGGGTTCTCCATTTACTCGCCTGTCCCGTGGACAGTCTTCCCACTGGTGATGCTCTGTTTCAATAGATTGCCCATCCCGATTGTGGCGGTGTACATATCACGCTACCTCCTCCCCGTTAGCATAATGCAGCTTCAGTGCAATCCCTGCACTGACCTTCACCGACCAGTTAAGCGCACCCGGAAGGTACCAGAGTATTATCCGATAGCCGGCATCGATCACCACTGACGGGCGTTCCAACACCAGGCGCTCAGTGGGGGGGGAACTTTGCCAATAATGCTTCTTCATGAGAATCATTCAGTCCCGACTCCCGTTTGGCCAACGCCTCGTTGTACCGGATGACGTCGATATCCAGTTTTACTACAAACATTACAATCCGCTGACAACACACATGTACGGTTTAGCCTACCGGGGTGTTGATAGGCCTCTGCCAGCACGGAGGCCAACTGTCCGCAAGCAACCATAGTTTCCGGGTCAAGTTCAGGCGGGCGGGCACCAACGGTCTGCCTGCTATATGAGCTGCAAACTGCTGCTCGACCCATTCGCTTGCTATATCGGCGACATTAAGGGCCCAATCCCGGGGGATGAACGATGTCGGATGACAGGCGAGGTCAAGGGCACCAAGCTGTTCATGGTAGGATTCCCAGTACTCATGCGATATCATTATGGAATGGAAGATACGCAGGTCTTGTTCAAGAAAACGTGCATCTTAAATACAATTGGCCATGCGGCACCCATCTTGGTGATGTAACACAGCGAGCCGAGATGCAACTTTATGAACGTAATTGATCAAACCCACGCATGTCTCATATAACCGGATGGGATTATGCTTGGCAGGATACTGACATATGGAAGAGAGACACTACATGAAAATATACTAATGAAGAAGCTGTTCCTCAACTACTGTACATAATATCGATGCGGAAGTAATTAAAGACCGGGAAAGGGTTCAACGGATGAAGGTCCTCCCAGCCTGCCATTGTCGTAATGCCCTTGCAACATTGCAACTGCCGCGTGGGAGGCTACCATTGCCTCGCGAAGTTCATCTACAGGATCCTCTAGACGATCTAATGCAGCCACAGCCTCCCTTGTAGCATCCAGCTTAGTAACAAGGAGTCGGCCGAGTTCCATACCAAGATAGGAAACTTCGGCCCGGAGGACCTGTTGCAGGAGCGGATCATCGCTGCGGGCGTGCGTAATTGGTGTCGGCACCATGCTGGCCATTTTAGGCTAATGCATGAATGTAGTAAGAAATACTGATCACATCATAATCTGGAAAAAAATCACTCACCCGCTGAGCAAAGTGGTCGGTCACCAGCTCCTTCACCGACGCAACAGACATCCGAAGAGGCATATCGAACGGCGCAAGGTCGAACCTGTGCTTCCACCAAGCGTGGCGATAGTCACGGACCACCCGATTGATGTCGACTGGATGGGTTGGCGACTCATGCGGGCATGCCTTGAATGCGGCGAACAGTCTCCCGTGATCGTAGTACGGCTCGGTCTGGAAAGATGTGATGAGCAAGATAACCTCATTAAGATATGCCGGCAGTGTCGTGTTGATATTCATGGCAGCGCAGATGTTGACAAAGGGAAATACAAAGCGCTACCGGTGCCTATCAGTAAATCTCTTCAGGGACGATTGCATAAACTCACCTCCGCTTCCCAGACGATGTGTCTCACGAATGTGTGCTGATACGAGCTGGAGTGTTGGGTTTTACTTTTCATTAATTCGATGTGAATGACCGTAAATCGGGAAGTGGCGTATTCGAATATTTCCGCTGCATCCCAGATGGAAAATTTACTGGCAGCAGATTTATGGAGCATTTGGTAATGATCAGTCATGACTGGTTGCGGTGGGGTGATAGATAAAGTCAGCTCGGACGCTGTTTAATTATACGGTCGGAGCTTCAAAAGCATTGTTGTGGTGATTTACAATAACAAGCTCAATCTGGTAATGTGGCCACAAGTAAGTGTAAGCTGTGACCCAATTCTCGATGCCACATATCCCAAACAATGTCATTGGCTAAATTGTGGGGATTGTGGATCACAAATGTGGTAAATGGACCATATTGCGTTGTTTTTATTTTGAATTTTATGAGTCAATGAACAGCGTCATGTGCTCGGATATGAAAAAAATTGACCGGAGAGTGGACTTCGCCTCACAAAGCTTGGCTAGGCATGTGAGGCATGTTCTTAGTGAATGCGTCCGTGTCAAAGTGTGTGACTGGTAAACGCGCTTCCGCCCACATGATGCCTTTTTGCTTGGCCAATTGATCGTATAAACTGCATGCTCAGACAATTGACTCGGAATGCAAACCAGATTATTACGTCGGGATACCGGAACCACGGTAGCGTCGCATTTTGCCGCCCACAGGAGTTCTGATCGACCACAGAGGCGGTTGCCATGAGATTGCTGTGCCCATCCGGAGATGATTGCATCATGAGCCTCCGGATTTCCCGGATGTGTCCGACACTTCCAAGAAAATATATTCTGTGAAGTGACACAATAGTCGCTTGTGACTGGGCCCAAAAGCCACCATTAGGAGCAATGCAGATAAATTTGAGCTCGGAATTGAGGACGGAAAGCACACAGTTAGAATTGTGTTTCCGGTAAGCAAGCAAGCATTTTATTTGGTCAACAGGATGGATTGAGAATGTGAATGCCGGAGCACAAGTTTGTGGCCGGTATAATACCTGGCTGCCGCCTGCATATAACTACATATGATATCTTCCCTGCTAGCATGCTGGGTCATCAAGAAGTACTTCCGAGTCCACCCCTTTGTGCATCATGCGAGATGATATCGGATAAATATGCACAGGTGCCATCCGGCAGGGATACCGGTCATTTACCCGCACAAGAGGGCGTGCTCATTACGCGGCTTGCAGCTGCATCAAATGTAGTCCCGATGTGCTTCTCGGTAGAATATATGTATATACAATTCGTGCATGCTCATATACGCAATTTAATTTCAAAATCAAGTAGTACTATTAATTTACACATATTGACATGTCGGAGGGATGAGCTGCACGGATGTCAAGTTGCCTCCAGATTTATACCGACGCTCAACCATCATCAGAGGTGCATTCACCGAACAAGCGATATTCCAAACATATATTGCAGAACATCGGATCGACATGAAGGACAATGCCTATTTGTAACTATCGCGAATGAAAAAGGCTGCATTATACACACAACTTGCATGGACTCAATAGATTGAACACAGATTCACAGGCAGCACCAGGCTGAAAATGCAATAATATAATTGTACAAAGTCCTCCGGAGCATATATAGTACATCAAGGGTGTCCATCGGATGCAATCTATGTAGCTAGTCCGTATTTGAAGCCATCCGACATTTTCTATCTATCTTAGGATAAAGATTTCCACCGGGCATCGGATTCATTGAGACGTTGCTCTAATCCGTCCAACCTCTTGAGGAGGTTCGTCTCCATCGAATCCACTCTGACCTCCAATGCGTCCACCCGCTCAGTGGCGGCGAGGAGATCTAATCTCCTGCCGAGGTCCTGGATGCCCTGTAAGATTTCTCTTGCAGTGGGCTCTGGTTCCACCAGGTTGGTGGGCGCAAGCTTTATCTCTTCTTCCAGAGAAGCTACATGAGCTAAAATCGTTCCGGGGAGACGGGAAGACATACCTTTCTGTTGAACAATGCGCCGTTGCAAGCGAGAAGCACGCTTCACGGTGTAGAGAATCATGCCTCTCATGGCGTGATATGGTAGCTTTACACTAGGGAGTATACAGCACCAACTCGCAGCATCACTCTGTGTACCATCCACAGTGATTCCTATATGACGCGCAGCTTTCCCGCGCAACGCGCGCCATGCGCGCACCATTCCCGCACTTCACGATGTATACGCGCGCGCGCGTTCCCGCGCTTGCACGCCCTATAGCGCCAGCCATCCAGATGCATCCATCCACTGTCCACCAAGCTCCCTAGTGCGTATATTTCCATTTCCTTTATTAGCATAGTTCCACCTTTATTTTTATCATAGTTTCTCACTCATATATATTTTTACATACCTACTCGGTAGCGCTTCGGCTCCGCATGAGCGCGCTTAGGCGCGCTATATAAGCGCCAGCAGTACATACTATTATTTACCTTACTTTTCACCCAACTTTACCTAGTACTTACTACTTAGAAAGTCGATGCGAGGAGAAGCACGCTTCACGGGTGCTTTAGAGACAGCTTGGGATTTCGAAGCCTGTGGTGTTGGAGCGGGGAGGAGGATGCTGTTGCTGCCTTCGCTTGCAACCTCTGCCGGACACCAACACCGTCAATTGCACAGGCGATCTTCATGCTGTCACAATTTGCGCAAGCGAGGCACATGTTTCCAAATTCTTGTCGGGGAGGACAAGGCAGGCAATGTCCAATTTGGCACATTTGTCGCATTGCCGGGGGTGATAGCGAACGGAATGCTTTCAATTTTTCAGCTTGTGCTAATCACCATGCAGAAATGACTTACCTTCCATGGTGTAGCGATATCTTCATCTGAACCCAATTCCGTCTTGGAAATGGTTTTTGATGTGATCTTCCTTTTCTTGACCGGCTCTTCAGACGGGGAAGGCAACTTGGTCTTGGCGACAGCGACGACAGCGTCCGTGTCTTCTTCTGCAGCCTTTCTCTTCTTGGTACCGGCCACGAAGAGGTTGTATTTTGTCGGCGGAGTGGCGGGAGTGTTAATAGGAATGGGTGGGTCCTCGGCCTTTTCCTTCCCAAGGTCCGATGATCCTTTCTCTTCCGGTTCCGGCCCAGCCAGGATATCGGACTCCGTGAGGGATGGTTTGGATGGCGAGGCCAAGGTAGATGGCGGGATGGCGGCGGTTGCCGTTGTGGGGATGGTAGGGGGATTGGCGGTTGATGTGGCGGCGATGACAAGATCATCGAGTGAGGAAGGTGGAAGATAATCCACGGTCTTATCAAAGCGCGGGTGGCTCTTGATGCGCGGGTCGTCGTCCGTAACGGAGGTCCAGTCGGGGACACTCTCGAAGGCGCCGCCCTTTGAGTTCTCTCTCACAACAGCAGCGAAAGAAAGCAGCTGCGGTGAGAATGATGTGGCGTTCCCGCCATACATCTTCAAGTCCTTGGCCTGGGTTCAATGCATGAGTTTCACCCAGACAAATAAGGGCAAGATCAGAAAGACTTACCACGCGCCGGGCGATCTCATCAGATAACCTTAAGGCCTCGGGATCGCCCTCCTTTACCTTGATGCAACGCTTCATGAGCGATTGCAGGGCGGCCAAGGTAATGTTCAAGGCGTGGTTAGCTTGCTCAGAAGGTATGGTCATGATTCTTTCCTGGAGCAATGATATGGTAGTGACGAATGTGATGAATGCGGTGGAGGAAAGTTGACTTTGTGAAATTCTGACAAGTCTGTATTGACATGGATCAGGTTGTGGGTATTTCTTGAAATTTGTGGTCTGTGGATGCGAAAATGTGGACCGAGAATAACAGTATTGTGTCCACAGTGTGCGGTTCCGCAATTGTCCCATGCATTTGTGCCCAAGAATCTGTCTACAACAATTGGGATGGACTATTTGCAATGTACCACTGGCGAAGCGATGGGCAGTAATAGCATGTGGGACGGAGGTAGCAGCAGTTCATGTACGAGCGGTTGAATTGTTGTACATAAGCCTTTCAACCGAAACAATATGCGCCCATGCTCTCGTTCATTTAATTTGTGGTTTCTCCGGAGAAAGGTGATATGGAATATCACAATTTTGTCATATTTCAGCATTTTCATAGTTTTAAAGGTGTCATTTTGGAGACCATCCCCAAGTGCGATGTCTAGACCAACACAGTGCAGCCAGCTCTGACTCGGATGGCCTCTGTGTTAATGTTACGGAAGGTGAATACGTATAATCCAGTGGATTGTGTAGGTGGCAGAGACTTTACCTGCCATAACTGTGCCTCGATCATCTCTTTGGCAGGTTGATGGGCGAATCAATATATAAGCTAGCTCTTCTGTCACGTACTTTCCTTTGCTTGACAAACTCTGAATGGTCGGGCTCTGTCAGTTTGTCATGATGCATAGACATCTCCCTTGTAGAGGGACGGATACCGATAAGATATTCGGAGGCGCCCGCAATGTCTTGGTGATATCTCCGTCGATCACTGCTGCCTCCGTGATAGAGCTTGATGCATACCGAACATGCATATGCCGGATGCCAGTTCCTGGTCAGATCTTGAAGTACAGGCCCATCGTTACATGAAGCCAGAAATGCTTATATATCTGACTTCCGGCACTTGCATCCAGTCTGTAGATCCGGTCTTCCTCAATATTGTTTGTAGGGTAATATATCTCAGTGCTACTAGCGAATTCTTTACATGAATTGATGATACACTTCCGCACTATTCCTGAAATTCAGTGTTGTCTTAGTGCTCTTGCCGATGACCCTCCTGAATATTTGCGATCATGGCATCCGGCAGCTCCATTACGCGGCGCTGGATGCCCAGCAAACGGTGCATTTGAACAACATCTTCAAATGTTTGCGTCACCCTGTATCGCCCTTCCGCATATGAACTGAACCGCTTCCGTTTGACCATACATGCAGGTGTTGGAAGCGGGTCACACCGGAAGTGTGATTTAGCATTACCGTATCACCAATATCGCCATTACATGTCATGAATAAATGTTATTGGTAAGTGTTGTGCAAGTTAGCGAGACACATAGAGATCAAGGATCTTCCAATGCGGTGATGGGTACCGATTCGTCATCTGTCTGATCCTTCCATCCGCAGCCATAAGGGCATCCTGGATCCTTGTCACCAGGCACAGCATTGGTATTTGTCGATTTGTCCGATCCGCAATCGTAACGGTCTTCATGTGAGGTGCTCACCCGGATACCAGCAGAACCTTTTTCACCCCTATTCTCCCATTCGCAGTCTTTGGATATTGTTGATCTATGGCATTCATCGTTGCAGCTAAGCTATAGGCATATACATTATCACCGTATCCAGAATCCCACGGATCGTCTTCACCTCTCAGAATTTCGTCATTTTACATGGGCTCCTACCATGTACAGTCGTATGTCTGTCCTTTCTCTCGCAGATGGGCCTGAAGCCAAAATTTTCAGCATCCATGGAATCATCTTACCCGCAGTCACAAGGATCCGATAGCCCGGCGGCATCATTTATGTCTCTAGAGCGAGTTTGCTCTATCCGAGTTATTTGTCAGGCTCTGACCTCCATCCGACTGTAAATCTTGATGTTCGCGGTTAAACGGTCCTACGAAGCTGATGCGGCCCTCCTCCAAGATATCAATGTCAGAAACGATCCAGAACATGCATATCCCGCGATTGATGAAGCAGCCGTTGCTGTAAAGCCATGTCCGTGAACATGTCAAGGGCGAAGATATTTTTATGAATTGATTAAAATGTATGGATCTGATTGCCAAAGGATTATTTGCTTGCTCATGACTCCACCGCACATCCGCCTATTTATATCCTGCGTGGGAGTTCCTAGCATACCCGGATTGGAAAAGTCTCAGGCAGACTTACATTTGAATCTTGGCATTACTTACTGCTTGGGTGGAATCTCAACGTTTGTCCAACTGTTGGAGTCGGAAAAACTGCCATAGCGAGTATGGCAATTAGGACACCTGTAAGAAGCATTTTTCACCGAGTCACCGGAATCCGAACACGTGGGCGCAGTAAAACAAACACGTTTGCCCACCATGAATGTTTCGTTTGAAATAAGAAATTCGGGGAACACTCACCACGCGCAAAGGTATGCTTCGATAATTGGACAACCCAGCCACGGCGACCGAATGCGTGGGACAACGATTGCCGAAGAAGTCGTATTACGTTATAGTTTTATTGATTGACCGTGATGAGCCAGATTGCCAAGTTGCCACAACGGCCATGCGTTCTCGGAAAGACCCATTACCGACATATCGGTATAAATCCCGAAACTTGATAAAAAATCATTGAACCCATCTTTTTTCATCGTCAGTTGCTCACTACACTTTGTATGTTTTGATAATGACACCTTCGGATATTGCAAACGAAGCCCTCAACTCCACCCTTGAGGCTGTGCAACCGCTCATGAAGCGCTGTATGAAATTGAAGGAAAGCGACCCAACCGCATTGATATTCTCCGATGAGATCGCCAGACGGGTGGTAAGCCTCGCTGCCAACTTTTGTGAAATGTATTTTGTTTTGATAACCAACTCAATTTGGCGCAGGCAAAAGATTTGAAGCTTTATGGGGGCGCCTCCACATCGTTCTCCCCTCAGCTGCTGTCTTGTGCAGCCGTAATACGGCAGCATTCAAAAGCTGGGGCATTTGTATCATTGCCTGACTGGAACTCCGTGGTCGACAACGACCCGCGCATTAAGACACACCCACGGTTCCACAAGACTATAGGTTATCGTCCTCCGCCCCCCGCATATCCCGACGCAGAGCCGGAACCCAGCATGTCGTCATCCACTGTGCCGGCGGAGCCAAATTCAACGAGAGGGACTCTCGTAATTGCATCAAAGGCCCCAGACCTCATTCAGTCCCTCCATGTTGTCCCGGAGGTGCAACCAAGCATAGCTGAGTTGCTATCTCCCGCTGCACCTGTTGCGGAACCTCTCATATCAGGTGTACAAATTACTGCAACCGGCATGCCCAATCCGGAACCAACACCCCCGTGTTCCATCTCAACAGCTCCCGTGACAGTCGGACGAAATGTTAATGGCAATGTAAGATCGGTACGGCAAGGCAATGCACCTACCTGCCAGCCGCAGAAAAGGAAACTGGAAACAAACGGCAGCGAACCCGAACCAAGTTCGGTACCCCGGAAGCCGGTTGAGAAACGACGGAGAAAGTTTGCGTCGGATGAAGAGGGAAATGGTGCCACTGGCACCATTCATGTGAAGGTGACATTCAGAGCATTACTTTGTTTGTTGCTAATGTAAGTTCATGCAGCAGAGGGCGTTGTCCGTGAAAGCCCGCAATGCTGTGGCTCCCACGGCGATGTCTCCATCCGAAATTGTGGACGAGAGAGGTTTTTGGGATGCAGAATCCAGGGTGAGTCGTATATGTAGCTGGAGTTTCCATCTCATTTTGGTTTATCCAGCCGGTCGGATGGGGTCTAGATGCCACAGTTGCTACGGCGGTAGAGGTAGGCAAGAGATCGCATTTGATTGCATATCGCCTCATATATTACAGCATTCCGTTCGCTATCATCCTCGGAAATGCGACAAATGCATTAAAATGGATGTGCGATGCATTGTTTTACCGGACAAGAAGTTCGGGTGTACCAGACTCGCCTGCGCAAACTGCGATGAGATGAAGATTACCTGCGCCATCGACGGGGTTGGTATCAGGCAGAGGCTGCAAGCAAAGGCGCAGAAAGCTGTCATGAAAACCGGCGTCGATCCAGAAGTCAAACGTTCCAGGACGCATGCCCCCAAGTCACGCACGGCTGTCAAAACACCTGTCTTATCAGCTCCTCCGAAAGCAGCTAAACCGTCCAGACGTTTGTCCCTTGCCCCGAAGAAAGTTGTGTTTGAGAACCCAACGATTGGTAAGCTCGATCATCATATGGTGCGGAGATGCTCATGGAGTATTTCCATAACATACTTAGAGGTCCGGCAAGAACCCGAGGCCATGATGCCGGATGATGCGAACATCAGGGCATCGCGTAATATACAGTCATTCAGATCTCTACAACTCCCACCGGTCGACGTGCCAGCACCGCTCACATCTTCCATGGCACCCACCCCCTCAGAGCCTGAACCCACCACAAGAGACATATTGCAAAGCATACAAGACCTCGGTAGGAGATTCGATCTCCTGGCAACCGACGAGCGGGTGGATGCTTTGCATGTGAGGTTAGATTCGGTGGAGCGGAGGATTAGTTTGAGGCTAACGGCGCTGGAGGAAGGGTTCTCCGTATCTAATGCGCATCGGGAGTAAGTATCACTGTCGATAGGTGATCGGTCGATATCCTTACGGGTGCACAGAAACTATCTGTATGCGCATGGCCCTCGCGCACACGGTTCCGCATATGCACCCCAGTACCTCCCGGAACCAACCATCGCATCGTGGCCGAAACACAATCACGCCGGTGATGAACCCCCGGGTATCTCCACCATAGGCAGAGAGTACACCCATGCATGGGATCTGCATGACGAAGCCCCGACTTCCACATCCGGTTGGCGGCAGACCAACTCCCTAGATCCTCCTTATATACGCGAGGCTTCGATTGCATCTTCTCCATTGTCCAGCACGTCGCCTGTCAAATCAGAGGAGTAGATTGAGTTCATGGTGCTCCCTTGATTGTGATTTCGCTATGGCATGAATGTTACCTTACTTTGCTTACAATTTTGGTAAATGAGGCAGGTTGAATTTGTATGTACCAAATGTAAAAATGCGATCTCCATGACCGAACGAAAACTTCAATCTGCGAATGCGCTTGGAATATGCGATTTTGACTATTTTTCGGACAAAGCTCGAAGACAACGGCGCAATAGAACACAGAGTTCTAACGAAAGTGACAGGAGCAAAGTCTCCAATTCAGGGGTTCATACAACTCTGCCCTGACATTACTACTAGGTGCTATACTCAAGGTCGACTGGGACGGCCGATATCGGCCAGTAAGGTAATCAAGAGGGGCCGGAAGTATAAGGGTAACGTATGGTTCGGCTGACGAGAAACAGATTACTATGAAACCGGTAAGTAAATGCGTTCACAGAGTCGGGCAGAAACAATACCGGCGATGAACAGAGAACCGGGAGCTGTCATTGAACGTTTCCGTTACAAAATATGCAACAGGCTTGTATAAAAAATGGACTATCACCGAAGTGTCCATCTCAACAACAAAGGATGTGCTGCCGGAAGGTTTTGACGTAAATCATGGCGCCTGCGTTCCTATGGGAATTCAGCTGGTCGGTTGCTCTGTAGATGTCGTGGGGCCGGATGTCATGCACATAGTATATTGTACACGAACCGACTAATAGGTATAGTGCCAATGCAGCTCCACAGATGTTTCAGATGTTCTCGGGGATTACCCAGGCCTGAGTGCAGTTTGCTGTTAGTTATGCATCACGAGATGTCCTGCAGCATATGGGTCATCAACGGTGGATCCGAGAAGCTCGTGATAAATACGATAGCTACCGGACAGCATGCTTGCTTTTCACAAAAAATCTGGTGTAAAACATTTCTCACGTCCTGCTGTACTAAGCTAATTATTATTGCATGTTGTTCAGGATATTGCAGACTTCTGCTGAGCAATCACTGTTCCGCTCGAGGATTTCTGGAAGCTCATTTGCTACCTTCGATAATGTTCCCCGATGCGTTTCACACCCTTACATTTCACTCGGGAGTTTACCATGATAATTGAACAAATGTACGTCACCACTCAATTGCATCCTTTGTTCTGTGAATGGTATGCCGCTGTTTCGGATTCGCTCGCTGTATTGTTACCATCGGCAAAGAAACTGAAGGCGGAATGATCCACACCCGCATGCAGGAGGGTAACACAAATACACCTATAGATTATGATAGTAACATTGTAAGGTGTTGTGTGTTAATTGCTCGACCACAGGCGTGGCAACCAAATACATCCGACAATGGTAGCGACAGCCATGGTATTACGTCATAATGCAATTACACCGAGTCTACATTACCGTGCTTTCACAAAGCAATCTTTCTCGGAAACATCCACAACCGACGATCTTTATATAAATTCCAACACTTGTGCAAATTCTTTGCGTCACCTTTCTTTCCTTTCCGCGTAGTTATATCTAACAAACTGACTTTTTTCAACACCGCTATGACGCCCGAAGCAGCGAATGACGCACTCAACATCACGCTGGCAACGTTGCAATCGCTCATCAAGTGTTGCATCCATTTGAAGCAGGGCGATCAGGAAGCACTGAAGTTATCGGATGAAATTGCTAGACGCGTGGTAAGTCTGCTTTCGTTCACATGCATTTGATTGTTCAGATTGGCGCAGGCAAAAGACTTGAAGCTTTATGGGGGAAGTGCTACATCATTTTCCCCCCAGCTCCTGTCCTGTGCAGCCGTTGTGCGACAATACTCCAAGGGTGGCGCCTTTGAAACTTTACCCGACTGGAACTCTGTGGTCGACGATGATCCACGCATCAAGACCCACCCACGCTTCCACAAGACGTTGGACTACCGTCCTCTCGCTGCAGTTGGAACTCTTCCCATATTGGAGTCTCAAGCTACCGGGTCGTCATCTATTGTGCGGCCTTTCACTGTTCCGACAGCCGTGGGTCCTGTCACGAAACAAGCTCCCTGCAGTGGAAGTAGATTCGACTCCGCTGTCCCCGTTGCCGACATCTCTGGAGCTGGAACCTCTGACTCCTCTGGCTCCATCAGTCGCTTCTGCTGCACCTTCAACAACTCGGCACAAGCTCTTTGTGCCAGGCAATATATCGAAAAAGGTCAAGATTATTCCGCACCCTAGGAATGACAAGAAGAGAAAGGCGGAAGAAGACGATACCGACTCGGCAGATGCTCCCAGGTGCCCGACCCGATCACACAAACCGAATTTGAAGAAAATCAAGAAGTTACCATCGCGTGATAGGCAAAATAAACTACGCAAAACCAGGAGTGGAACTACAAAGGCAGGTCTACTCACCGTTGCTCATACATCGCGGATGTATCTGGTCGCTGACATCGGCCAAGGAATCATCGTGGTCAGCGGTATCTCAACATATATTGGACCCGGAAGCTCAGGATGCCATGGACACCGACTCTGACAATAGCTTCTGGGACGCAGACACTAGGGTGGGTGACTTTGAGCTCTGGCACGGTGCTGAGTGGAACTTACTATACAAATGTTTCAGCCTAATGATTGGGGTCTGGATTCAACGATTGCTACAGCAGTGGAGGTACGTTTGTTTGACTTGTCAACGGCAGCACATGTTGACCCATGTCAGCATTCCATTCGCTACCATCCGCGGAAATGTGACAAATGCAAGAAATCAGGCAAACCTTGCATTGTTCTGCCGGACAAAAAAGTCGGATGCATACGACTCGTTTGCACGAATTGCGACAGGACAAAGGTGACTTGCGCAATCGATGGAATGGGGGTCCGGGACAGGTTGCAGGCTCAAGCCAAAGCAACGGCGGTGACACAAGCCGCCGATCGTCCCAAGCGCTCCAGGTCGCGCGTCCCCAAGGCCCGAGCCGTCAGCGAGATGTTGAAAAAGGACCCACCGGCACCATTGACCATGCCAGCCGTGCCTTTATCCACCCCTGTTGTGAAAGAAATTGACGAACGTGGTAGTGAGTGCAGCTATCTCAGAATAGCACTTGTCCTTATCCGCAACTGCCTTAGATGTTGAGAAACAACCGATAAATTTGACAGTGACTCCTGTGGAAGAGACGCTGGTCTCACTCATTGCCAAACCCGGGCAGACCAGCCAATCGGAGCAAGTCCACCCTATGGGAGTCGATCATCCAGCGGAACAAGAGCCAACCGCAAAAGACATTCTGCAGGCCATCCGGGACCTTGGGAGCAAGTTTGACCTCCTTGCCACCAATGAGAGGGTGGATGCATTGGATGCCAAGGTCAATTCGGTGGAGGAAGTCTTTGGCCATCGGCTGGCAACTTTAGAGCGACTCATAAATTCATCCGATGCACAATGGAAGGCCATGTCATCGTCGGTCGGGCATTTGTCAAATTGTCTCCGGGACCACAAAGACGACCTGGAAGCCCATCGACCTCGTGTAAACACCACGGCCTATGCTCCTCCACAGCACCCGACCGCTCAACTTCCGGGGTGGCTCCATGGCGCCGGGGGTGTTGATGATGTGGGCATCTCTACGGTCGGCAGACAGTGGACGCATGCATGGGACCCATCTGTAGCGACTGGTGTGCAAGGCTGCCTCGAAACATCCGCATCGGCTGCACGGACAGGTTATCATCATGATACCCCTGTTATTCGCGCAAATTCAATCAAATCATCCCGATTGTCCAGCACGCCGTCAGCAATGTCCGATAAGTAGATTTATGTCATATCCGGATCGACATTGAGTTGTGGGACTGGCGTCACCTAATTTCATGCAGTTTTGCCTACTACTCGGTTTATATGCTTTGCTTTGGATACTAGTGATGTAGCTGTAGTTGATTGCTCTACTGGATTGACATTACTAGTTTCATATCTGAGTTCAGCAATGCCACCAAGGATGGCGGTACTTATGATCATCTCCGATGCAAATTGCATGTGGGTCATGGAATCACGGCGGCTCGAATCTTGTTTAACATCTCTTACTGTATTCGTTTTCCGGATGTTCTTGATTCAAGAGATGTTTCATTTGGCGGAAAAGGCTGCCCAACGGAAGTTCTCGGATACAAATATGTGCAATAATTTGATGATCGACGAAGGACCTGCATATGATTAAATTTTACTTTCCGAATTAAATGAATGCTTAAAACTTCAGATTTAGTCCATTGGGTGAAAACGGATCGGCCCAACGGACAATTGTGAGCCCAGCACGCCCCATTTTCATCTCGGACGGGCTCAGCTAATGATTCGGAGCCTAGGGCCTTAATTTACCTTGGGTCATGTGATCAATATGATTGATTTGGCATATCCATCTCTCTCAGAGAATGACTTAGCTGGGCTCATTTGCGATGAAGAGGGTCACCGGCGCGGCGAATTTGACATGGGAAAGAGGAACAGATGGGCCTACCAATGTGCTTGGGCCCAACTAATAATTTTCATGCCAAAACCAACATTTGTCTTAGGTCCAGTTATGGAGATCATTGGTTGGGCCTCCATCTTCCGGGCCGATGTTAGATTCTCTCGGCTCATCACCCGTATCGCTTGAGGAGTCAAGCTGGACCTGGTGCGACTTTCCCGATTCGGCCAATCAGCCACCGCAAAATGTTGGAATTCTGCAGATGTGGGTCCGATACGCATATTGCTTTCCGGAATGCATGGCTGATGGGCTAAACTTATGATCGCAAGAAGAGTTCCCTCTG